GTATCTTCAAAAATGGTGCAGCTAGGGCGCTTATTCCTGACCCCAGGATATTTCCAAAAAAGCTTCCAACCGTAGAAATGCCCTTTTGTAACACACTTCCTATCGTCTGGGACCCATTTGCCAATATTTGAGATACCACTCCCAATCCTTGGAACAGGTCATCACCGATCGTTACGTTTATAGGATCTATAGAAATATTTTTATATTTCCATTCCGTTGTATTAATAAATATCCGAGTGGAGTTTGTCCCATTCACCCAAAGCTCTCGAGCTAATTCACCTTTTTTTACCAATTCCGCCAAAGCTTCTCGTGCTTGTTCCACATGCTGCACATTCTGTTTATCGGTTTCATTTACTTGAGCCTTTTCCTTAGCTATTAATTGAGCGTATTCCTTCAGATGCAAGACTCCCCTACTTATCCTTGCTAAATAGACTTTACTTGTATCAAATAACAATTTAGCCGTTGCGTTCTTCAATACCCCCATTATTAATTGATCGATGGTCATTTCAGCCAGTGACATAGCGCGAATATCCCGTACTTGGTGTAAAAAGGCATCTAACTCGGATAACGTCACTTGTTGTAATTCTGATATTTCTCCCGCCAAGTAATTAACTTCAGATTGTCTTAACTGTTCTTCTTTAATCATGTCAATTATTACCACATTCAGCCTTTCGCTTTGAATATAATTGGCCCTTGATAATTCATTCAATTTGTTAGCTATCTTTTTGAGTTCTTGTTCGTCACGCGAAAACCTCACATTCAGCTGCGACGTTAATTCAGAAATTCTGTCATTTAATTCAGTCTGCATGGCTTTAGAACGGGAATAATTTATGGATGAGAATATTAAGGCCGCAATACCAAATATTTGTCTTTTGTGTCGGTTATTGTTTAGGCTTGTTTCGTACATAGATCCCCTAGATGAATCCGTTTCGCTCCATTCTGGATGTCCCTTCCCGTGTATTACTAAAGGTAAGGCCGGGAAACGACTTTTATTCGAAGCAGGGTCATAATTTACTTCTTCCCAAAACCTTAATTTTGCATTAATATCTCCCACAGGATGTTTGCATTCATTATTTCGAGCTACTCGTTTTTTACAATTGACATCCTCATTACTCATGGCCGGATGTGTTCTATATATCGGTAATCTCACCATATCAGGTAGATAATTCGTTTCCAACTGTACTGGCCCATCATACATCTCGCGCTTGTTTGTCGTTGGTCGCACCCATCTTATTCGTTTGTCCCAGTCATCCGTGAAGTTCATTCTCATCTGCGGGTTGTACTTCCTCGGGTCGAATATTACTGGCCAGATGTTCTGCGACGGTGATAAAGCAATCTCGGGCGTTAGCCTCATTGTACCCCAGCCATCAAAGTGATGAAACAACCTGTAAAAATATTGATCAGAAAAATTCCGCTCCAGAGGTTCCCAAAGCGTGTCCACCTCCTGGATAACAAAATCTCCCTGTAATGGCTCGAAAGCTAAGCCTCTTCCTTTGAATCTGCAACTTACGTATAAAAATAAAAACCGATTACTCTCATGAATCCATATACTTTTGAACGAACTGTTAGCCCAATCTATATCGTATGGTCCTTCTTTGACCTTAGGTATGCCTTAGCCCTTATTGTTGCATATTGTCCGACTCCTAAGTAGTTAGTTTCCATCTTACTCGTACAATCGGCCTCGACAGTAGCATACGTTAGAAATAATTTAATCGCCATTGCTTTATAAACAGTCATGGTGGTAATTAATCGATTATTAGTGGGGTTGCGTTGGTACCCATTATTGTTCCAGTTCCAAACATGTCTATAACTAGGTCCGGTGAATCTATTATATACCACCCTCCTTACCATATTAGAAAAAATAAGGTCAGGAGAGATTGTTGCAATTTTACGTGTACAAATACAGGTTCTTTCCAATTCCGTTGAATCTTCCCAATATTTTCCCTCCGGGAATTTGTGTTCTTGAAAGGTTTTTTTGTTAGCTATAGAATATCCAAATACAGGGCTGTAAAACAATCCTGCATTTTTAAAGGTCACTTCTTTATTTGATATATTCCAACAGTCTCCTAAATTTATTTCTTGCCAAGCTGTAATTTTCATCTTTTGGTAGTTGGACATATTTAACTGGTCGGTTTCTATTATTCGCCCGTCATTTATACTGGCTACCCCATTAACGAACGGTTCCTGTTTTTTTAGACCTCCCACTGTTCCATCTGCTTGGACCGTTTGACACATCCATAACAGGAAAAAATACAATGCGACACTAATGCGGTCACACTTAAAACCAAGATGAAAAAGGTTGCCCATTGTTCAGTTACAGGTGGCTCTTGGTCCATGTACTTTCCAATCAAATATGTCTTTGGTTCTAATAACTAGTCAGTTTTATTACTAGGATCTATTTTCTATTTACTGTAAAAACAAAATATAGTATAGCCAATATTCTCGATCAATTCTTTTCATCCCTGAGCCCGTTCCTTTGGTACTCGGATTCAATTCTGTCACAAAGCATAGGGAGGCAATCGAACGCGTATTTCGAAAATTGTTTGTAAAATTGTGAGATGCAATTTGTCAGTGATGACGTCAGCGCTTGACTACTGACATCGGAAAGTCTTAATACTGCCGCTAACTTAGGATTGTAATCGGGATGTGTAGAATCTATCGCTGGGCCATACCTATCATATCCCCGTCGTTCGCTGGACGACAAACTTTTATATTCACTTTCCTTCTTCCTTAATTCGGTTAATAGGCACCCATTCTCATGCATGATCTTCACTTGTTTAAAAGCCATAGCCTCTATTTGTTCCGGGGTACATTCGCCAAATTTATAATCATTAATTTCGTTTTCTCTACCTTCATTTAAAGATTGTTCCAGAATCTCTTCCACGTCCGCTATATCTATCTCACTTAGGGCTCCAATCTCGGATTGGGTAGCATCCATCGCACTTTCGCCAGTCTCTGGACACTCTCCCGAATTTATTCCGTTGTTTAGCATCGCCTCTTGGACGGAAAGATTCTGGGTCATTTCACTCAATCTCCCTGCGGAGTAGGACGTTCCGTTCGGGATACTGCCGAGAATGCTGGACACCGGATTGTTTTCAGCGTCATCACTGACTCGTCCTGCTCTCGTACCCCTCGCCTCGTAGGGATTCAGCCTGTATTCTTCCATCATCTTGCAGAAATCTATCCAACTCAAGACTTCCACTTGTTTGATTCCTTCCCACGGTCGGGTAGGCACGAACATTACACATGAGTAGGCACTGTCACCTTCTGCCATTTTAGTTACTTATTCCTATTAATTATTACTTGTAGCCTGTGAATACATTAATTATTGAAATATGCACAATTGTTAATAACACAACATTTATAATCAAAATATACATAAGAATTCACAAGTAAAAAAAAGAAACAAAAAATATTGTCTAATCAATTTTATAAAGGGGATTGTTAGCTATTGCTCTCAATATTTCAGAAAAATATCTCGATTTTGTAAATTGCCTTTTCCAAACCCATTCGTCCAAATAGCTCTGGACCATATGCCTGGCTACCCCGTTCATGGCTCTAAACCTCTTTTTAATTTCACCCCACAAACTCTCAATTTCGTTCGTGTGAACACCCATAGGGGAAACATACTCTATGCTATGATTTACTGTTTCATGAATGTATCCCATCCCCATTTGCTCTAGTTTATTATAGGAGGGAAATTGATCTGTCCATATGCGGGTCCCCCTCGCTACATTTTTGGCTATAAGTCTTAGCATGGTTGGAGCCGTGCGCCCCGTCTCTTCGGGAACCAGTTCTAGGAATAACTTCTTTGAGGAACTTTCTACGCCACCCAGCAACCACAAGGCCTTCACCGGTCTGCTCCCGCGGTTACTTGAAGCATTTCTTCTTACTATCTGCGTCTCATCGATGGATACCGTTCTTCCAATTCCTCCTATGAGTCGACCCTTCATGTCCAAGTCCCTAGAACACACTCCCCTCAAAAGCTTTTCCCATTCCGCAATTGTCCTGTCTGACAATCCTGTTTCATTTGAAATCCGTTCTTGATCGAATTCGTTTGCCCAATAATACATTAGTAATACTAGGTCTCTTAAATTGGCCTTACTCCCTTCAAAAATAGAGTTCTTCCGAATCGTTATTATGGTTCGACATACCGTCTTTTTGCATCTCCATCTGTACTCTATCTTATTGCGGCTTCTGAACCTTTCTTCACGCATTTCTTCATTACAATTCGGACAAACCATGTGATCTGCTAACAGGCGATGTTTCCTCAGAAATTCTATACATTCCTTCGGATCATTCTGAAACACTCCTTCCTGGGCTAAGGTCACCGTATTCATTGTTTCTTCATAGTCGTCCCCTGTTAAAGCATTGGTTAGATCCTATTATGGTTATCATAAATTCGCTAATTTACTGTTTACGGGTCGTGCAGCAGATAGGCATATGGAGTTATATTTTCCTTAATGACCGGTCAATCAGTTTCACATTAATGAGTCATTATTTCCGGTATCTGATTGTCCGCCATCTTGGTTCGCATACTTCGGGAGCCCCAAAATATATTCCATTCCATCGTTAAACGAATTTTGGCTCTAAACTAGTTTAATAGTTAGAGACCTTAAAAAAATAAACAAACTGTGTTTCTATTGCAAGTCCCACAAGACAATATCTTTATTGGTATGAATCAGAAACTTTGTATGAAAAATTTTTTTTTCCCTGTTGCAGTCACCTTTATGCTTGCAGACTTATCTTCATGCTTGCGGCCAGAGCCGAAATATAATATATATTGTTATATATGTACATGTACCGACTATTCAAGTATTGCCAATGGTGGGCACTATAGCAACAAGAATTGTGCTTCGTTATCAATATCTCGGAACGTGATTTTATATGAGATTATTTAGTGTAAATTCTAGTCCAGTCGTCAATTAAAGCCATCCATCAATTTTGTAGCACTTTGGTTTTCTACCGTTTCAAAGCCGCTTGTAAAATATCTTTTGCAGACTTTTCGAGGATCGTTCTGTACTCCATTGCGTTCTATTTCGCCAGAACCAACTATGTCATTACTACAAGTTGTTTTATCGTCGGCATAATACTAGATGAATTCGATGGCCGAGCAGCGAGATATTTTCACCAGGTTTGTAAAGTAGGTTAACCAAAAGCAACACATATTGCTGAAAATACAGGAGAAAAAAAGTAAACCAAAATTGGTTTTGTATAGGTAACAAATTTTCAAAAATAGTTTGGTGTTTCATATTTCTGGGAATGTTCTCAAATAGGTAAATATTCGATATGTAACTTATTGTTTTCAATGTAATATGAAATTCGAGACGTTCAAAAGTTTAAGAACAGCCTCTTTTATAGTCAAATTCGCTAACATAATTTCAGAATAGCTCCATAATAATACAAGAATGGAACATAGCATTACATGATATAAGCAAATTGAACGCCATATTTCAATCTAAATATATGTCACTACGTAAGCTACATCAACATGACACACTTCACATAAATCTAATTCCGAAACGCCAAATATTACGCTAGTCGATGCGGTGCAGCTATATTTCCATGACCTCCCAAGAACTGGTTCGTGCGAGAACCCCCTGAATCACACCATTGATTTTGATGATGAAGAAACCTTATGTTACAGGAATCTAAGCTTGGTGCTATGCTGGACATCATGACAGATCGCGTCGGGAATGTTTGTCTCATTTTAAACATTGTCAACTTCTATCCTGACTATACGTTACTGTTTCAATTGAGGTCTGTACAGTCAATATCACGAGGTCAACTTAGAAATATAAATGTATTACAAAATTTTTGTTGGAACGTAGGCTATATTATAAAATCTTTAAAATGCATAATTCCAAAATAAAATCTTTTGTGGAAAGCCTAATGCAAAAATGTGAGACTTGAGAAAAACCCTAACCATGATATCACTGAATTCAGTGCTCAATTCCATCAACGGATGAAAGTTGTAACTGGATAACATTATTTTAAGCCGTGACGGGGATGCTTTCTACGATTTAATTAAGATTTAATTTTGCTTTAAACAAGTTCAGACGCACATACAAACGAGTGTATGAAAATTTGTGTGAGGATTTTAAAGATAATACATAATATTTAAATTAAGATATATATCGCAGAAGCCCAACTTTACAAGAAATACCAAACTGATGATATCTGTATCGTAATAAATAAAACCTGAATGAAAGTTCTATAAGTTTTTAAGAAGTGTTGTTTCTACAGTATCTATGTTGATATCGTCGGTCACTGGTTGTACATCCATCATTCCGCATTGACTGGTTCATATCATCAAGACATGAAAGGTGGAAATTATTTTTTACGACTCTACTATTCGAACAGGGTAAGAATCGAATCTCTCTTAAAAAAATTTGAATGTTGGTACAAGTATATAATATATTTGAGTATAGGATATTGTATTTCGAACTGCAAGTCCTTTCCCCTTGTCTAATTAGGCTTCCCGCTTCTTGTCAGCAGGGAACCTATTGTATTCCTGTGTTTTATTATTATTATTATTTATTTATTATTATTATTTTTTCAAATTGGTCCTACAAACTTGAAATTCACCTCAAATGTGCAGAAGTTCTCAGCTGGCAATAAAATGCAAATTTTTTTTTACGCGGGAAGCCTGTTAAAGCTGCACTCAGCTCTAGTTTCTACTTCGAATCTCAAGAGGCCGTAGTCACAAAGATTCTAGAACGAGTTATAGTATAAAAGTGATATATATATATATATATATATATATATATATATATATATATATATATATATATATATATATATATATATAATATGTTATTCTTTAGTTGACTTAACTCGATAACTCGGTTGATCCTCGCAAGTATGCGTTTGATTTGAGTGAAGTTTTTTCATTTTGATTGTCGTTCCTATATCTTGCTGGCCGGGCTGTCTTCTGCACCCTGCAGAGCTGCATGCATTTGCGCCTTGTGTTGACACTGTTAAATACTTTCCGGGGAGTTATTTGACAGTTTATTTGTTGTTGTTTACATTCAATATTCAATTTGTTGTAGGATCAGTCATGTTTTGTTCCATTGTTTTGCTTTTCAGATGCTCCTTTCTCTGTTGGTGGACGGAAACGAAATATTTCATTTGATGTTGTATTTACTGCACTTTACTGAAGGACCTATGTGTGAGTTAATATGAATATTTTTGTTTCTTAAAACTAATGCTGTTTTGATCTTAATTGCCACACATCGATATACCACATGTTATGGAGATTGGAACACCTAGCATTCTCTGACAAAATAATGGTATGATCTGGCCAATAATGATGCTTATTTCCACGACTCGGAACTTGTACTCTTCATCGTCGTAGGGTGGTTCACGCAATCGATAGTAGGTTAGGCTTGTTCAATTATCAAGTCATGTGTCAGTGACGAATACCGACCCGACATAGAATGTGAATTAGACGAGATATCATGGTCCACCCTATGATTGAGAATTTTCATTGGCTTTCTCTCTAAACCGGAATAGTTGACTTTCATTGCAGCCCAAACCAATATTTCAGCAAAATTATTTAAAATCTTGCATTAGCAGACATTTATATTGAATTACAAATTTTCTCATGACCTCCTCCTTTACAGTGAATCTACCGGGTTTGAATATTGGTCTGGTAAGATTAGCGTTATATGCATTCACACCAGTCATGATCGCGAAATGTTGCTTTTTCAACGTCGTTCATCTGTACGATTCCATATGGAGCATGGCAAAATTAGATGCTGATCTACAAAACGATAAGAAGACTAAAGCAAATTAATACAGAAGATATTGCAATTTATCCTGTACATTATTGCTTCGCAATTTGAATGCTGCTTTCGTATGCGATACCACTTGCTTAACTAAAAGTGGCGCACCGATTGTGGTGCTTCTTTGATATTCGTTTAATTTCGTAGAGACATCTCATAAAACTCAGTTGCTAACCCTAACTATAATCACTGAAATCGCATGCCGAAGTAAAACCAAAATTTGAATATTTTTCTTACACTTTCAAATATTTAATATTTAATGTTATAAACTGAAAAGTTCAGATATAAGGGCCGCCCTGAAAACATATTTGCGTTATGGGCATTTTGCATAAAAATAATTTTGTTTAAAAATTTTTATATTGGTAAAAGAGAGATTGAATAGAATGCTGTGTATTTGCGTTACAGCTTGTAGAAATAGGGTGAAAATATACTTACTGTTAATTACCGTACATTATAACCACCGACTGTTAACAGCATGTGTTATATTGCTATAGTACAAAGTCTGACCGCGATTCATTTCCTTATATGATTTACCGCAAGCCCTTATGCTGGTTCGAAATTTCAGAGCGAATAACAGTCTGATAAAGTGACCCCGTGCACGTGCACGACAGGTCGTCTCTTAGTATATTTCTTCGTTGTAGTTTGATTAAAATTATAAGTGTTCTTTAATTTTCTGTTACTTAAAATAATTCAATTCGATTGTGAACTTCTACTACAATATATGGGCATTCGGCAACAGATATTGTGTGTTTATTGGCCTTTGACCGAGCCGGAAGAAGATATTACTGTGCGTACGTTTAATAGTGCGAAAAAAAATAACAGTTCGGGACTTCCCCCTCCCTATGCTAGATTTGAAGTATTAATTGTGTATTATCGACATTTTTCTTTGCCACATGATAAACCACAACTTTGCTGTGTACTGATGATATTATTAAATCCAATTAGCATTTGCGCAAATCATATAGACTAATCTACGATCTTTATGTATATAATTACATTATGTTATAAGAAGCAATTTAATTTAAAGTTTCGAGAAATATCTTGTTTCGTGAACAACTATGTCTGGTGTCGTCTGCAATTCTTCTATTGTAGAAACTCCTGTAGAAAAAAAATGTAATGTTGCTTCATAGTTTTGCTAAAGTGTTTTTTATGCCGCTGTTGATATGTTAAAATTTATGGTGGTATGTGTCATCGGGAATTGCACTTGTGATTCGGTAATTGTAATTTGGTGTGAATTTGATCAGTGTTTAGTTACGGTGCAGCGTATATCTTATTGTCAGTCGGCAATATAGAGTTTTTTTTTAATGTTTCCATCAGAATTTATTTATCCTTCAAAATAAAATTGGGGAAAAATATTATTTTGTATATATATTTTTGCATTAGGTCGAATGCTACTACAACTCGTCCACGAGGTAAAATTGGAAAAAATCCTTGTCACTAGTTTTCAATTTGAAAGTTAGATTAGAAAGAAATCAAAAATGTTGAAACAAGTAGATCTACCCAAATAAAACCAAATTTATTATGTTATATCAGGTTATAGCTGCTAACTCACCCAGGAGTTGCATAGTGTAGATGAATTCGTTTTTGAGAATTTCTATAACATTCCGCACACCTTCCTCGCCCTGAAAGGTTATTGTTTCGTTTTACCAATGTCATATAAAATAATACATTATACGCGTCTATTAGAATACTTTGCACCAATTTCAGAATTTTTACTTTTTGCAAATGTAGTCCTACTCTAGGTCCGAAAGGGTCTGAACATAAGACTCAGTCGACGCACGTTTTACCATCGACCATAGTGTATTATATTAGCAAATGGGATCGATATGATAGCTCTTCGGACCGTATATGGTAAATACAAAATAAACTTGTTACAAACTTTGCATGCCAGTCCCCAGATTATTGGTCTTCCAACAAAAACCGCCTTTGCTCCAAGAGCGATTGCTTTTGCTATGTCTGTTCCTCTACGGATTCCTCCGTCAAAATAAACATCAACTCTGCCATTCACGGCCCGAATTACTTCTGGTAGAACGTCTATCTAAAATTAATGTCCAGTTTTAAACATCAAAGTATTTACTTAGAAGATGGATGTGGGACATGCAGGCACGTGGATTTGATACCATAACCATCCTTGGTATAACATGGGTTATGCATTCAACGTTAGAGTTTTCACAGATGTGCATTAACATCATGCTTTGGGATAACGTGGACTTCACAACACAGATCCAGGTTTCTGCTTCAATCGCGCGAGAAAAGACGTTAAAATAAAAAGCGGAGAAATGATATATATAGATCGGAGTTAGCATGCTTTTCTTATTTTCTCTCTTATTATTTTAATCTCAGTTGAAGTTCCAAAACAGAATGAAAAACAATAAAACAAAGTTTGTAGTTGTCGGAATATGTTAAAACACCGCCATAATTAATTTATGAATCTGACGAAGACATAACAGAACGGAACCTGATATATATATTTCATTCTATATCAATGTATACCCACTGTCGCGAATGTACCATCTAATATTCTCCCGCCATGATTTGAGACAATGATTCCGTCAACTTTGTGTTCAACAGCTTTAAGTGCCATTTCCGCTTAATATAAACAGAATGAAATTATTTTTGAAAGAGTGTTTTTATTCACTGTTTTATGCATTTATGATCTTCGTATTTGCAATACCAAATCCTGGAACGTACTCGAGGTAAGTATACGTCAGGGGTCGGCAACCTTTTGAACTCCATTTTATGAATAATGAGCACCTTCGCGTGCCAAACATTTTCAAGTGTTTGGTTTGCATAATCAACTACCTGATTTGAATAGTCGGAATCGGAAATTTTCTTTCCGTTCTGAAACAGTCGCCGTAATTACACGCTCGTAAAAATAGCCGACTTTTTTAGCGTATACCGACTTTTTAGTCGCGTAAAATAATCAATTCATGACAGCTACGAGAATCTATAAAATTTCCTTCTATATTGATATAATTGGGTCCAACGTAACTCGCGGCTGCGTCTTCTTGCGTCAAAATATAAAGATTACTAGTCTAAAATACCGCTCAATCTGTTGACGTATAAAAATATGAGATAAACATGCCTGAGTGTACTTAGTTTCGATACTTTTTTGTAATCTTGCGAGTTCGTTATCGCCGTTAGAAAAATCTCAAGATCTGTAATAAAAATCTCGTAGAGTACAATTAAATACATGTAAAGTTTATCAGTAAATCAAAAATACATATTTATCGCCTCGAAATCCCCGCGGCTTTTTCGACGAATAATATATAATGATTTTTCTGTTGTCCAAAGTAATCAATCCACGACCGATACGGCCATATTTAAAATGTCTTGCTGTATTATAATTTACTTGTCTTCAATTTAACCTGCAGTTGCGTCGACAATATAAACGCATACGCATCACTACCCTCAAATACCACATCAATCCGCGGACATAAAAATGTGTGATAAACTTCCCGGTTATATCTAGTTTTGATCCGTATTTTTCCAATTGCGACAATTCGACAAACCTGAGCTGTACTTGCAAAAATGACTCTGCTCGATCGCAATGCTGCCACTCAGATTTTGTTTTCGATGATGAAACCGTTATAAAAATAAAAAAAATCTGCTATAAAAACTCACGGAGTAAAATTTATTTTGGTACAATAAAAATTGATTGAATATACTTTAATTAATTATCTTATATCTCAACACGACTCGGGAAAAAGTCGCGTTTCCAACCTTATAATATGAAATGTATAATATCAACACTAAAATTTTCTGACGGCAATTTAAAGTAATTGATAAAAAGGTAAATCCGCGCATGTCGGCGATAGAAGTTTCTTTTCAGTTGATAATATTTTGAACGCTGTTCTTCTTTGTGTTCTGAGCGGCTAATTTTTATCGATAATTGCTTTTTTGTTTTGACGCGAGTTTCGCGGGCTTTACTGCATCTGACGTGTCACGTGTGGCTCTTGCATCTCGACTTTACGCGTCGTAGGACGTTCTTGTTTAATCTTGTTATGATGTTAGTGGTGTGGTTTGGCATTATCTGCTTTATTGACTTAGCGTGTGGGTGGCATTTGGTCTCGTTAGGTAGAACTGTGGTGAGGGTATCGTAACCGGGGCCCCATATGACCATCGTCGTCATTTATTGCTTTAATTGTTCATGTATTTTATATTTCATTCTTATTAACTGCTTTCTAAATTTAGTTGGTATTTTTATGCCAATAACGTTATCGTTCACGTTTCCTGTCAGTTTCTTGTCGATTTAGGCCTTTGGAGCGTTATATGTAAGTTTATTTTCTATTAACTTCTGGTTATGCATTTTCTTTCCGCCCTCATCTTGTGATTGTTTATTGATTATTTCATTTTATTTACAGTCAACCGTTTTACAATAAACGCGTATTACATGGAACATCTGTGTGCCTAAATCTGATAAAGTTGAATATGACGCATTTGTTGAAGAAGTCAAATACTTAAGAATCTGAAGCAACAGTGGCTTCATCGTCGACATTTACGGAAAAAGGCGACTCTGCAGCTGACAAAACGTTTGAGGGCTTGCCATCCTTAACCACGCTTAGACAAAAGCGTATCAACAGAGAGACTGAGTTTGAATCATTGTTGACCAAAAGTCGAAATTTGATAAACGAGAACATTTAACCGTGTTTCTATTCTAATGGCCTTATGATTCTCAATGCCGCTCAAACTTATGTGTGCAATAGGCACACGAAATTTTGCAATTTACAATGCCTAAAAAAGCGTTTTTAATCTGTCACGGGCCTCGTACAACAAATTATTTACGGTTTTATTTTTAGTATTTTATATTGCCGCTTTTCAATAAAAAAATTTGCGTCGCTGCCCCACTCCTTTTAGACTTAAAAAGCAACTCGCTGCCGATTATTGTATAATAACTCTTAGCCAATTCACAATTCTGGGCGAATACAAAAAGAAAATAGTTATTATCGTTGACGTGAAATACTTTTTTCGATTCTGGGAGAATAAACACCGACGTAAAAGTGTTTACGGTCAAAATAACACGTCACGCTGACAAAAGGAACCGGCGATTTTAGCAAAAAGCTGTACGAATCGCCCAAAGGTATGAATTGATGAAATAATATTCAATATTTCACGATTATCAAAGGGCAAAAAGTAACCCAACAATAGTATAAAAAGTTGCTAGTAGGTGAACGAGTAGTTTCAGGTAGCGAAGCGTTTCTGAAAGTAGCCAAATCTGGCACCGCTGCACCGCATATGCTTATCTACACTGAATTCCCGCACAGATTTAGGCGTCTGATCCATCGCTTTTCCGAAAGTAACGAAAAGTGGCAACAATTTCGACTTTCCGTCGTTGCAGTTAAACATTACATGTTTTTTCAAAGGATTTGTCGAATTGTTAATTTTTGTTCAAATGTAGAATTTTGATCGAACTACTAAAATAAATATCTTGTCTGCATCAAATCACTTGGCGTGCCACGAGAAATCCTCTCGCGTGCCACAATTGGCACGCGTGCCAGGGGTTGCCGACCCCTGGTATACATTATAACTATGTACTCAATTAGAACCATAGCTTACCTGTCAGAATTCCTTTGATTACTACAGGTAACTTGGTAATTCCTTTCAACCAATCAATACTGTCCCATTCAGCACTTCCATCCATCCAGGATGTAAACGCAACAAAGGCCGGCTCATCAGGTTCCACAAATTTGATTGATCTACAATGACCAGAAATGAATCGAATAAAAGGTTAAAAATTCCA